TCATCTAACATCAGCAACTCTCGTTTTCCCATTGCTGCCAGACTATTATGGGAATTCTGCCTTGCTTGTTATAAATGTGCCCTGCTTGGAATAAATTGAGTGGAATATGTAAGCATACCTACATACTTAGTCACCCCCTAATCCCAATTCAAGGAAGATGGGTTTTGCTCCTATCACAATGGTGGCGAACCTATGGCACGCGTGCCAGAGGCAGCACGCGGAGTCCTCTCTGTGGGCACGCGCCATCACCACAGCACACGTGGTCTCTAAAAGTTTGCCATCACTGGCCTAAGGCCAGCCGGCCTGGAGCCGCCATTGGGGAGCCCACCATCCCACCCGCCAGAGACCCCCTGGATCTCCCCCTGCCCTGCCCTGCCCGGCTCCCACAGGTGTCCCTCCCCATAAGCAATATCGAAGTGGCCATGCCCACCCTGTCTGCCATGACTACTGCAGCCACACCCATCCAGTGGCCACGCCCACCCAGTCTGCCACACCCACTGTAGCTGCGCCTGAGTGGGCCACACCTACCCGGCACCCGGCGATACATAAGTGGGTTTTGGGTTGCAGTTTGGGCACTCAGTCTCTAAAAGGTTCGCCATCACTGTTCTAGCACCTTCTAACAATATTTGCATAGCTATCTTGATTGGAAAATGTTAACTGAATTAAGGGAAGTTTCAATCACTGCTTAAATTTTCAGCTGCTCAGTTATCAATTATATATATATACCCATGCTGAATAAAATGTAACCTACTGAATTTTGAGTTAACTGTAGCCTCAATTTTTCCAAATCTTGTTCTATATAGACTGGACATAAGTTATGGCAATTTGAGTTTGCATCAGATCACAACCTAAGGAGCTTAATTGGATCCATTAGGATCTTGCTTCCTAAGGAATGCAGAAAGTGGCTATTGCAATACAGGTTGTCCTCGACTTACAACAGTTTGTTTAGTGACTGTTCAAAGTTACAATGGCACTGAAAAATGTGACTTATGCCCATTTTTAACGGTTACAACCTTTGCAGTGTCCCCATGGTCATGTGATCAAAATTCAGGCGTTTGGCAACTGACTCATATTTATGAAACCTGCAGTGTTCCAAGATTATGTGATCCCCTTTTGCAACCTTATGACAAGCAAGGTCAATGGGAAGCCAGATTCACTTAACAACTGAGTTACTTAAACCAGGGCTTTTCAATCTTTTCACCCATTGTACCACTTTTAGGATATGGCAATATCCGAGTACCACCAGTCGCCTAGCAAGGTGTCAAAAACTTGATGACCAAAAAAAAAGGAAAAAAGTGAGTCCTCAACTTGCAACAGTTTGCTTAGTGACTGTTACAATGGCACTGAAAAAAGTGCCCCCCAAGCGACAGCTGAGCAAGACACCTGCCTGCCCGCCCGGCGGTGCTCTTCCTCCTGTCCGAGGTTTTCATTGTTGTGAGCATTTCTGTTGAGGATTGGCAGTGGGGGTGGGGTGGGGGGTGTTTGGTTTTTATTCCCCCCATCTGCTGGGTGGTTGCAGCAGGTTTTGGTCACTTCACATGACCCTGGGACACTGATCGTCATAAATATGAATCAGTTGCCAAGCATCTGAATGTAAATCACAAGACCCTGGAGATGCTGCAACATTCCAGCTGATTGGCGCTTCTTCTGGGCTCAGCAGAAGCGCCAGGATCAGTGCTGCTTTCCAGCTGATCGGTGCTTCTTCAGGGCTCAGCAGAAGCACCAGGATCAGCGCCGAGCTCCAGCTGGAGCCTGGCGCTGATCCTGGTGCTTCCACCGAGCCCTGACAGCCCTGAAGAAGCGCCGATCAGCTGGAAAGCGGCACTGATCCTGGCGTTTCCGCTGAGCCCTGACAGCCCTGCAGCTCCAGCCATCTCTCGCTCAGGCTTGTGCGGTACTGCCACCGGTTCAGCTTATTCCCCTCCCCCACTACCACTTTTCTAGGTTGGTCACGTACCACCTGCCAGATGCCAATGTACCACAGGTGGTACCCGTACCACTGGTTGGAAAGCCCTGACTTAAACATTAGTTACTTAAAATTCTATATTTAAAAAGTAATCCATTTTGTGCATTGTTTTCATTATTACGCTATCTATAATATACTCCCAGTGCCAAGTAAAAAGCAGACTTTTCTTTCTATGCTTATCCTTAATACGTTTTTTATCTTTGCTTTTTTAAAATATATTTTAACATTACTTGGTCTTTTTTTTTTTTGAAAGATGCCTACACATCTTTCCCTAAAAGCAACAGTGGAAATTATAATTCTGGTAAATGTTAACAAAATGGATTACTTTTTATACAATATACAATTTTAAGAGAGATCATAAAGCGATTTTAAAAGTTAATTGAATTTATTGAATATTTCAGAAGTTAATCAGTTGTTTAGTGGAACAAAATGTAACATTTCTGTGAGGATCCCTGTTTTGCTTGCTTGATTTTTAGCAGACTTTGTTCTTCAAGGATGAAAGCAGAGTCTCCCATCTGCCTTGAAGCTTGAAATTAGATGACTTGATCTAATGGTACTTTTCAGAGACCTCTGTAGAAAGTAGATAACTCCATGAAACAAATCTTAATCCATTGTTTAGGTAGTAAAATAATCTTGAGTTCATGAAAAAAGATTTGTGGACTTTTCTTGTTAAGACTAACTTTCCACCAGGAAAACCTTGTTCCAAATGTTTAGCGTAAATATTTCTGCAATACAAAGACCTGATGCATGTTCTTGGGATTTTGTCATGGAAAGGAAGCAAGAAGAGATTGGTTTAACATTACAGAAGAAAAATAGGCCCTGGTAATAATAAAAAAAATCTTTATTGATTAGCCCTTGGGCCATATCAAAGTGCAAAGTTCCAGCAACAAATGATTACTAAAATTTGATAAAAGCAACTTAAAATGGAATTTGATAAAATACAGTTTAAAATGGAATTAGAGTAAAATACGACTTAAAATGAAATGGGAATAAAATACAATCTAAAATGAAATTAAAATAGAGTACAATAATTTAAAATATAGATAAAATATGATAAAATTATATCTTGGAGTCACCCTTGCAATCTACCCCAATCAGTCCCACATATGCAGATCTCAACCGAACCATTTTGTTTAAATACTGTGCTGCGTTAAGTGTTATTTTCAAATTCTGGCCGCACATAAGGTAACTTGTTTTGATATGGGGATCCCAATGAGTCATTCGTTTGATATAAAGACCAAGGTACCTGTCTCTCACTCTCTTGTACAGGCAACAATCAAATAGTATGTGAGCCAGGTCTTCTATCTCTGCCGCTCCGCAAATGCAGAGACGCTCATTGTAAGGTATAGAATGGAATCTCCTATATCTGACCATTGTGTCAAGCTGTTCGAATCTCGCTTGCGTAAATATCTCCCTAAGGTGTTTTGGCAGTTTATAGACCCTGGTAAGAAGGTGTGGATAGTTGCTATATATCAAATAAAAGAGTCAGCCAACTAAATCTGAAGGCCAGATTTATGATTGGGCAAAGAGAAGATATATAGTATATACCCTTGGATCTTCATCTTGATCTCTTACTTTTGTACTGGGAGCGTTTTGACACAAAACTCTTGAATTTTAGTTTGAAACTCAGTTTCCTATGATTCATCCACAGTTGACCTTAATTATTCCAAACTCTCAGCTACGCAGTGACTTTTGCCCTTGATAACTATTCATATCCATGTTTGAACAAACCTGGACTTACAGCAGGAGATAAGCGATGTCTACTGAATTGCTCCTGGGAACAAACCTTTGCTCCTTCTGTTGCTAACCAATAACATTGTGGTGTAACAGATGAATTAAGCCAGAGTATATTTAACTTGATGGACTATGTGACACTTTTGAAATCTGAAAATTCTATAGGCCCAACCCAAAACTGGATTTCCTGCACTGTTTTTTAAAAATATCCTATGGAGAAAAGTTGATGTGTTGAATGTATGCGGGCGGGGAAATCGCAAATCTGTGTGCACATATTTATTTATTGTTAGAAAAAGATTAAACTTATCACTCAGGGCACACTGTTCTGAAAAGATGGTATGAAGTGCATAATACCATTGCAGGTGTCCCAGAAGTTTTGGAAATTCATTGCTAATTTTTTTTCTATACGTAGAAGTCTTGTGTGGGGTTGAGGGTATATGTGTGAGAAAGAGAAAGAGAAGGCAACAATAATTCTTTGACTTCTTAGCTGGACCAATTCCTGTAGTGGATCCTGGCAAAGGTTGCTGCCATGTAGACTAAGTCCAGATTCAATTAGCCTCATATCCTAAAAGCTTCATGTCTTTTTTCCCTCCAGTGACCAGATGGTGACTTTTGTCTTTTCCACTTCCCTGATGGGAATCAGAAAACCAATTTATCAATCAAATTATGTTTTCTCACTACTGTGGGCAGTCCGCTGTTATTATTTTGCAGCTGATATCATGATTGATGGCAGATGACAAGAGTCTCATCATAGCAGAGCCCAGCCTTTTTTCTGTGACAGAAGCCAAGATCCCTGCCATGCTTTCAGAGAGATAAAGATTTTCTAGATGGGAACTTAAATCAATCAGGCTCTGTAATTGGTCCAACCCCCTTGCTCAAGCAAGAGACCCTAAGCTATTTCAGACAAGTGGCTGTCCAGTCTCTTCTTAAAAACCTCCAGTGATGAAGCACCCACAACTTCTGAAGGCGAACTTCTCACTTAGGAAGTTTCTCCTTAATTCCAGTTTTTTCAGGGCCCCATCTCCATACTCTTGTATACTGACAAATCAGGACTGCAATGGGACAAGTTAAGCAGCTCAGTTGCAAGATGTAGTTGATGTAGATGGGATGAAAATTGCAATTGGCCAATTAGATTCCCTTTGAGGGGAAAAAAAAGAATCAGTTGCATTCAGTTGATACCAATAAACTTTAAATCCTGGGGCCTCAAGTTGTTCAGCCTGATATAGTGGATTGACCATTATTATTCCTGTGTTTCTAGAAATTAATCATAGTTCATAAATTTGTTACTGCTTTAATACATACTCAGTCTGTGGTTTCTTGTAGAATGGAACATGAGGCCTTCCAGCTAGAAAAGCAACATGTCCATAAGGTCTATGAAAGCACAGCCTCTTATTTCAATGACTTGCAAGGCAAAGCGTGGCCTCGGGTCCGACAGTTTCTACTTGAACAGAAGCCTGGCAGCCTGATTGCAGATATTGGTAAGTTGTTTAAAAAAAAAGAAAGAAGAAGCTCTCTGTAGAGGTCCTGAATGAGATGGAAGAAAAGAGATGACAAGAGAATCACAACTGTGTGAGGAGCTCATAGGCAGAATGGCAGTTTTGGATGTGGGGAGGAGAACGATCAGAAAAAATGGCTAATTCCCTGTTCTGAAGCAAAGGTAGGTGTTAGTTGACCATTTTTGTCTTATTTGGTCTCCTCAGATATAGATAGCCAGAACGTTATTCTGTATGGTTCAAACCCTCTCTGAAGAAATGAACTTATTATCTGTGTACTTTAGATTATACAGGATCTACAGGGTGTAAAAACACAGAAATATTCCTCTCCTTGGAGAGCAGAAGTGGAAGTCATATAACATGCCTCCCCTTTTGTCTTAAGGGTTCATTTTTGAACCCTATGTTCTTCACACAGAGCACACTGATGCTAGAAACCAATCCCAACCAATCCTATTGTTGAATCTCTTTCAGGCCTCCAATAGAGTAGAGTAGAGTAGAGTAGAGTAGAGTAGAGTAGAGTAGAGTAGAGTAGAGTAGAATAGAATAGAATAGAATAGAATAGAATAGAATAGAATCTTGGAGGTCTTCTAGTCCAGCCCCCTGCTCAAGCAGAAGAACCTATACCGTCTCAGACAGGTGAATGTCTAGTCTCTTCTAAAAATCTCCAGTGATGGGGCGCCCACAATTTCTAGGGGTAAGCTGTTCTACTGGTTGATTGTCCTCACTGTCAGGAAGTTTCTCCTTAATTCCAGGTTGCTTCTCTCTTTGATCAGTTTCCAACCATTAACAAAACTCCAGTCCATTTCCAGCAACAAGGGGTGTTTAAGTTCTTTCTCAGTATCCCTCCAAGTTAGAAAACCCACCATTATTCCTGATGTTCAAATGAAAATGCAGAAATCCTGGGACAACTGCCCACGTTTTAGGTTTAAACATGTTCAGGGGAGCTAAGCAGGACTGTGTTGTGTTGGCCATGGACCTCTTTCTGATTTCCTGGTTTCTTCTTGTATGTAAAAAATTCTCACGAACGAAGGCAATCAATCTCGCATTAAAAAAATCTCTTTTGTTTGGCTTAAGGCTGTGGGACTGGAAAATATCTTGATGTCAACCACCTAGTGTATAATCTTGGATGCGATTATTGTGGCCCCTTAATAGAGATTGCAAGAAATAAAGGCTGTGAAGTAATGATCTGTGATAACCTACACCTCCCTTTTCGGGACCTGTGCTTCAATGCCATCATCTCCGTGGGAGGTAAGAGATTTTAATTGTCTGAACAGCTGAGATAAGAGGAAACACTTTCAATGTGTACCACTTGACACTACATTAATATTTCCTAATTTACTTATTGTAGGAAGATTAGATAATGGCGATTTTTGTCAGGCCAGTTCAGGGATTTTATATAAGCAATCTTAAAAAAAACAAAACAAGAAGGGTGCATGCTATAGGGGGAAAGAAGACAAAGGTAAACTAAGAATATTTGGAGGATGTCATTTTCTCTGGTTAGCTAATTTATGAATCAATCAGCCTGTTCCCATTGGGAGAGCATTTAAGGAAAGACCCTATGCCTCGTTCCCGGAATTTCCAGTTGAAAAAAGTGCCCCATCCCAGTAGGCTGAAAAGAACTGATATTTGGAAATTTTAAGCAGGGATGTTTCTCTTCATTTTATACCCAATATTTTTAAACTGAACTTAGCTGGCTATAAGCAAACGCAGAATCTTGGAAAATAAACATGCATGAATGATTCCCCTATGTTTAGAAGGGAGTGGGGGCAGAATAATTTGCTTGGGCTGGAAGCAGCAAGAGGATGCAATGCTTTGTTAATTAGAGAGGGTGATATATCAGAAAGCTATATCAGAAATTGCCTGGGTACATAGTGGGCAGAACTGAATTAGATACAGCCGTAATTGTAAACCTGCAACAACATATGTGCTTTGGGAAAATGGGAAAACACGGGAAGTGGGAAAACGTGATATCCCTGACACAGGAGGGAAAAAAAGGTTGTTAAGGAAACACATTGGAATCTAAGCTACAATATGCATTTTTCCCCATAAAAACCGGTATCTGCAAAGATGAGAAGTGATTATAGTGAATTAGATGTGGTCATCTGCTAAAAACTCAAAAAACAGGAATGGAATGGTGATGATAAAGTATAAGAGAATTAAATCATCTCCATAGCCTTATTTTTAAACTTTAGATATCATTTGTATGTATTTTGTACCTGTATATTTTTAGTTTTGTTTAGTTTTCTTTTTAAAGTTTTTTTTTAAAAAAAATTCATTTTCATTTTTCCATTAGTTTAATATGAATCCTTTTTCACCCTACAGGTTTCTCTATATAATAGGCTTCCTCTTTGAAGTATAATATTTTTAATTCAATAGATGCATACAAATATAGCTATTTTGTTTATATACAAAATCGCATATGTGTAGCTAGGATTTTTCAAGAAATGTTAACTTTTAAAAAATTAATTTAGCAAAACTTTCAAAAGATAATTTCTCTCTTGACTCAGGCTCACTCTGGTAACCACACAGACATACCAGTAATATTATTATTATTGCTGGTCACAGTCAGCCAGATGTTTAGATTGGATTTGGCATTTTTACCCACCTATCTTTTTCCCAAGGACCTAGGATAGGCTGATGTTCTTGTTTGATGGTGTTAAAGGTACCATTGCAGGATGTAAGCTGTTCCAAGTAAAGCTGCATTTTGAAATTGACTTGTGCCAATGGTATAATTGATCTGTGCCAATGGTATATTATGAGCCCTGGTGGCTAGAATGCAGTACTTGCAGGCTACTTCTGTCAACTGCCAGCAGTTCGATTCTGACCGACTCAAGGTTGACTCAGCCTTCCATCCTTCCAAGATTGGTAAAATGAGGACCCAGATTGTTGGGGGCAATAGGCTTAGAGAGGGCTGTAAAGCACTGTGGAGCAGTATATAAGTCTAAGTGCTATTGCTATGGCTATTATTGTTTGTAGTAATATTAGTAGTAGTATTGCCGTTGCTACTGCTGCTACTGGTAACAAAATGGAAGCCATCTGCTATTATCTTCTTACAGGTTTTTTTTCTTTTTTTCCCCTTTTACTTCTCAATCTAGTCCATAAACTGAAAATAGAGGAATTAAACAAATTAGGCTAGAAAGCAATGGATTTTATGAGTTGCTTAGTTTTTTTTTTGGTCCTCTAATAGCTGGCAAAGCTATTCTTCCATTTTATCATGCAGCACAATAGAACCAAGAATTAATTTTGAAAATATTGCAAATGCTACTAATGAGCAATGCCACTCCTGAACCATAACTATAAAGACATTTAATTCAAAATATGCATATCCCTAATGAAAGAACACGTTTCCTCTTTTTTTTTTCAGTGATTCATCATTTCTCCACAAAACAAAGACGAATCCAGGCGATCCAGGAAATGGTCAGGGTGCTGGAACCAGGTGGCCAAATGATGATTTACGTCTGGGCTATGGAGCAAAAAACCCGACATTTTGAGAAACAGGACATATTTGTCCCTTGGAACAAAGCCTTGTGTTCACGGTTGCTTTCAGAATCCAACAAAACTGGTATTGCATCCCCTACGGAAACTCAGACAATGCACTCAAAGCCACCGATAAGTTCAAAATGCAGCCACCCTGGTCTCCTTGATCAGAAACATCCACTGAGATTGGGTAACTGCCTCCCTGGATCCTGCTGCGTGAAAATGACTGAAGATGAAGAAAAAAGATTTTATGGTGCCCTGGGGAGATCTTTTCGTTCCTGGTTTTCCTCCAGGTCACTTGACGAGTCTGCCTTAAGAAAGCAAAATGAAAAGATGGAGCCCTTGAAGGATGCGGTGGGATGGACGAGCAACGCCATTTCTATTCAGCCCCTCAGGCACTGCAGTGTAGACTTAGGGTGTCAGTCAGCATTGCTCAGGGAACGGCGGCTAGATCACTATGACGACGTGTTTACAAAGTGTGTGGCTTGTAAAGAAATCCAGCGGCTGGCAGCTTCAGGGTCACTGAGGGGTTTTAACGGGGAGCCGGCTACATTAGTCCAACACCACAACGGGGAAACCTCGTTTCTAAGAGGGTCTGTGGAAAACATAAAGAATAGCTGTAGCCATCAAAGCAAGAGTCATTCCTTTGCAGGAAAACCCTTTAGAAGGATTTCATCTGTTGGCTCCAGTGACTCGGTGGTAGACTCGGCGGTGGCGGTGGGAGACTGTGCGGTTAACGGACAGGACCCCAGAGCCTTTATGCGCTATTACCATGTTTTTCGCGAAGGGGAGCTGTGCTCTCTCCTCGAAGAAAACGTTCCTGAGGTTCGCATAGTAAGTTCAAGCTATGACCATGGAAACTGGTGCATTATTGTGAGGAAAACAATAAGCAACGGCTGAAAAGTTGGGCTTCCAGAAACTGCGATCGAAGGAACGGTACACATTTTGCCAACCTTGGTCATCCATTCTGTGCGCAAAGACGTCACGATGAAAGAATAGCACTTAATGGTTTGTTGAAGAACAAAGCTTTTTTTACAAATGCCCGTCCTCAGTTTGTGTTGCTTCTAGGAAATTTGGTGATGTTTTTTTTTTAAGCATTTTATAAATAAAACTTTTTACAAGAGAAGGAAGGAGACATTTCTTCATTCCCCTCCCCCCACTCCCCTGAAAATACAGGTAGTCCTCAACTTACCACCACAACAGAGCCCAACCTTTCCGTTGCTAAGTGAAACATTTGTTAAGTGAATTTTGCCCCATTTTATGACCTTTCTTGCCACAGTTGTTAAGTCACTGCAATTGTTAAATTAGTAACACAGTTGTTAAGCGAATCTGGCTTCCCCATTGACTTTGCTTGTTAAGTTGCAAAAGGGGATCATGTGATCCCGGGACACTGCGACCGTCTTAAGTATGAATCAGTTGCCAAGTGTCTGAATTTTGATCATGTGACCGTGGGGAATGCTGCAATGGTCCTAAGTGTGAACAACGGTTGTAAGTAACTTTGAACGGTCATTAAATGAACTGTTGTAAGTCGAGGACTACTTGTAGTATCTTCCCAATGAAATGGCAGTACAATTTGTGCTTGCGTTTTACCATCTGAGCTTTTTTGGGTCAGGAATTGGGTGAAATACACGTTTAATTTTTAAAATGCTCTTTTAAAGAAATCTTGCTATCTAAATAGACTGCCGAGACCTAACAGTGCAAAAGGCCCTAAAAAAAAATGAACAGATCCAATTTCTTCAGAATGAACTTCAATTTATGTTAAGCTGAAAACACAAATGATGCTCAAAATGTCTAACTCTAATCAAAACCCTGGAGATTAGCTTTAAAGGGCAAGTGTCTGTAAGCTATTGAGTTCATGAGGACTTTTCAACAGACAAGATGCTACATATATTAAAAACAAGGTGGAAAAAGAGAGAAGTTCAAAAATTAAGCAAAATATTGAAGCCTTAAACTTTATATTTCAAAGTTTAGTTTATAACCGAAGCAATATTTTGAATCCAAAGCAGTTCAAAAGAGGCTGGCATCAGCTAAGTACCCAATATGTAATCATTCCAGTCTCCTTATTTCAGATAATCTGGAAACTCTCTGACTGATTTCAAGAATGGTACCAACCAGTTGTGCTTTGGGGGGATGAAGTGATCTCCAATGGTCTCCAAGATCATTACAACCATGGTTGTTTTGTCTAGACCAGGATGTCCAACCTTGGCAACTGTAAGACTTGTGGACTTCAACTCCCAGAGTTCCCCAACTAGGTTGAAGTCCACAAGTTGAAGTCCACAAGTCTTAAAAGTTGCCAAGCTTGGACACTCTTGTTCTAGAACAATACTCAGCAATGTTACTACATTCTGGTTTTCTTGTCAGAATGGCCTGGGTCTTAGTTCACACTACAGTTGTCAGAGTGTCACTCATCTTTCATCCACACAACAAGCGAAAGAGATTATCCATATTCTTTTTCAAAGGGAGGTTTTGAACCGAGTTCCATTTCTGGTGAGTAAAAGGAAATGGTTCATCATTGCCTCCTATGGGACGTTTTCTCAAATCACCTCTCTAGTCTAGAATCCGGGGATTTCACGATGGGCTCTCACCTAGGTCCTCACTGTTATAACCCCGTCTGGCTTTTTCTAAATGAGATGATCAGGTTTGGCTAGGTGCTATGAGACCATTTTATTTATTCTGCAAAATCAAGGTACATTTTGAAAGGCTTTGTTGGATCTTGAAGATTGCACTGCCATTCATTGTTGTCTTTTCTTCCTCCTAGTAACTTATCCTCCTGCATTTTAAAAAAAATCCAATCCATCTCATATTTTTTCTCTGTATAGAATTTCATTAGAACATCTCTTGTTTTTGAGGCATCACTGCAGTGGGTTATTTCCCCCCTACTTCTACATCACAGTTGCTCTAGTCACATGTTAAGGAAAACTATACTTGGAGCACAATCAACAGAACTACATAAACAATAGTGCTGTAAATGTGCAGGATTGCTTGGAGAAATTTGAAAAGTTGTGTACCTGTTACTTGTGTTTGTAGATTAAATGCATGCCACAAGTCATAACATGGGGTTCCAAAGTTGGGAGAAGACTCCAGTGCTGCTGCTCTTTCATGTGACTTTAAAAACTGTATTTGGTTAATATACTGTATGTATACCAAAACAAAAAAGATGCTTTGGATATTCACAGCTGCCAAGAAAAAAACCAAGAAAACAAAACCGAGTTGACTACGTCATCTGTTAAAGGAGAGGAGATGCAAAACAATCATAGATTTCCTTCCGACCAATTCTTCCCCTCCCTACCACCTCAATTAAGTGGAAAGAGCAAAAGGTTTATTCAAAACAGGTTCCGCTGTTTTGAAGCCCTTTGAGTTGGCCCTAAATACAGCATTGTTTGGTTAGGATACTTCTAAATCATTACCACTCAGAAATCCTGCAACTCAGAAAATCTATAAAAGTAGCAGAAAAAAACATTGGCTTGGTATAAGGATGATGAGCTAGTACGGTGTTAAGTGCCTAGTAGTGATCCAAATACACACTGAACAGGAAGGAATCCCTAATACACATTTAGCCAGGTGATACTCTAAGTCAGACATGTCAAACACAAGGCCCGGGGGCCAGATGCGGCCCGCGAAGTGATTTCATGTGGCCCGCGAAGCCATCCTGGAAACAGTGAGGGAACGGCCCCCGCTGCCTTGGCCCTGGTCCAGGCCGGCCGGGAGCCAATGTACAATTTTGTGGTGGCCATCTATGCTGAAATGCATTCAGTATTTGCTCCACAAGGCCGTCTGGAAACAGCGAGGAACCAGCCCCTGCCACGTCAGCCCCACCCCCTAGGTGCATGCTGGGCAGGTGTCACCTTTATGAGGAATGAAGAAATGCACCATCCCTGGAAGTGGCCAGCAAATGGCCCTTGCCTACTTCACATATCCAACTTGATGGGCTCTGCTCTGGTCCCACCCCTTTCTGCCAGAGACCCTCAGATCTGTCCCACTCCTGCCCAGGCCCCCACAGGCACCCTTGATGCGAATAATGTAGAGCTGGCCACGCCCACCCAGTAGGCCACACCCACTCCATCCACACCCACCCAGTAGGCTACAATCCCTACCCCCCCCAGGGCAACTGCAATGCTGATGCGGCCTTCAATGAAATTGAGTTTGACACCCCTGCTCTAAGTCTAAGACCTTTTGCATTACAGGAAGTGCTTGACTTACCACTAGAAATGGGACCGGAATTTCGGTCGTATGTTATTGAGGTCATAAATCGAGGCACCACTTGACTGGAATTTATACTTGTTTTTACGAGTGTGATTAAGTAAATCATGGTTAAATGAAACATGTGGTTAGTAAGTGAACCACACAGTTATAAATACCAACCCATTTTATCCAATGATTATTTTTTTTTGCTGAAAAATGCCAAAAATGTTGCAAAACACAATCATGTGATTGTGGAACCCTGCAACTGATCACAAATATGAGCCAAGTGGCCAAAATGCAATTATGTGACCACAGGGGTGATGTCGCAGTCATAACTTTGAGGATGGGTCGTAAGTAACTTTTTTTCTAGTCCAGGGATAGGCAACCCTGGTTCTTTTATGACGCGTGGACTTCAACTCCCAGAATTCCTGAGCCAGCCATGCTGAGGGGAAAGGAAGAGTTTTCCAAGCTAAGCCATGCTGGCTCAGGAATTCTGGGAGTTGAAGTCCACGCGTCATAAAAGAGCCAGGGTTGCCTACCCCTGTTCTAGTCCATCCTATCTTTGAATGGTCACTGACTGTAAGTCAAGGACTGTCTATATCAGCACTTTATACCAAGACTGTCCATGAAGAAAGGGTCAAAAAAGTCCAGAGGGCGGTCCTGACATACGGCACATCTAAAAAGGGGCAGGGCTTTAATTACACAGTCACGCCTGCAACCGTAACCTTTTTGACCCCCAACACTTATAATTTATTTTACAATGATCTGTACGGCTTGCAATTTTTTATGTGAATTGCAAACATCTCTGATTTTAGGTTATAGATCCTTATTTTAAATATCTTGCATGAGCTTATAGCCAATGATAGTGTTGATGATTAATAGAATATTAATGATTCTAATAGTTCTATCAAATTAAAAGTAATGGTCCTTCCAGCTCTTTTGGCTGGAAGGATGATACAATTGCTGCTCTTTGTCTAGAACTCATAGTGATCCAGGACCAAAGTAAGGAGCTGAACTTAGACTATTTTAGCATTTGATTTACCCCCTTGATGAGTTATATGTTGGGAGAGTAAGATTTTAGGGAAGCCCTAGTTCTCTGGTACATAAACTAGGACAAGGGTCTTCAAACTTGGCCCTTTTATGGAATTCTGGAAGTTGAAGTCCACAAGTCATAAAAGGGCCAAGTTTGAAGACCCCTGAACTAGGAGGACAGGACTTCCAAAGTGAAGGAAGTGGAGAATGGAATACTTTCCTCTTTGCAGGACAGAGTCATTCTCAGCATGCTACAGAGAGAAAAAAACTCCAATATGCAATAACCATCCCTTTGTAACCCACTTTTGCAATCTGGGTGCAGCGGACTCTGGACAACATCTTTGGATAAACAGACCCAAGTTCACTTGACTGCTGATTTCATGTAGATAGTATTCCATGGAATGCCTTTGGGCAACAACATTGAAATGGTTTACCACCTCTGCCTTCCAGGATATTTTTCAGCTTCTCGGTCCAGACAAAACCCATGAGCTTTGAGGGTTGTCCAGTACAACAGTAATAACAATGCTTAGATTTCTGAGATCAGCCAGATGTAGCCACAGCTGTGGATAAATAGAACAACTAAGTTTAGATGAAGGTTAATATTTAGTAACATAATTTTTATTTAAGCACAATAAAGAGCAAGTAATAATTGTGTCAGCAAGCATTGAAATTATACGTATCCATAT